TGTCTTCGGACCTGATGTTCCTTTTGCTCACAGAGCTGGTCTGGGCTTGTACGGGGCACCCTCTGCCAAGCCCGATTACATTTTGTTGCAGTCTTACGTGAGAGAGAATCCAGTAATTCAGCAAGCTCGTTCTGTCCCAGGGAAAGACCTGTCTTAAGGACAAATATGCTTACTTGGCAGCCTGCAGCCTGCGGAGCTAGGGTATTGTTCAGCTGGTATTGCCATCTTAGAAATAATTCTCATGAATACAGGAAGAAAAAAATGCCAAAATTAAAAAAGTGAGGTTCGGTATTTTTCGGAACCCTTAAATTTAGCTTTACAACCATTTAGATGAAATGGAGAAATGTGGCGGGATTATTAGATTCATTTTGTCACTCACTTCCACTTGCTGTTTGTCAGTTGATCTTGACTTACATCTCAGATTGACAGCATCCCTTTCAACTGCTGAACACAGCTGGTTGTGATTCACTTATTTCTAATTCCTGCCCTTCCTCAACTGTTTTCAAGTGTATTTTTGTGGACTACTTAAGACAAGAAAAGGACAAGCAGGCAGTCCTGCAGTCAGATCAGCATGTGGCAGAGGAAGGAAGAAGTTAAGGAGATGCAGTTGCAAGCTTTTCTTGTTTAGAGGAGATCAGTTTTGGGAAGGTGCGAAGCAACCCTGTGAAGAGTTTCCATTTACGTGTGGTCAGCACAAAAACAAGACAAATGGACTACTTAAGACAAGAAAAGGACAAGCAGTCAGATCAGCATGTGGCAGAGGAAGGAAGAAGTTAAGGAGATGCAGTTGCAAGCTTTTCTTGTTTAGAGGAGATCAGTTTGGGAAGGTGCGAAGCAGCCCTGTGACGAGTTTCCATTTACATGTGGTCAGCACAAAACCAAGACAAAACCCCTGACACTTCAGAACATGGAGTGCCCTTAAAGAGCCCTGAGCAAGCGATGCATAATATCAATTAAAAAAAGCCATGGGTGGGAATCAGAGGTGCCTGTATGGTTTGGACACCAAGTTGCCACTCCCTTAACTAAGAACAGCTCCTGGTTTATGTGGATACGGTCCGTCTGAGGACAGCATCAATCTGTGGTTTAGGTTTTGCTTAAAACTGTCAAAGTGGTGAGTCTCACTGTGATTAATTTATTTGCTAACAAAAAGGGAACTAATCTGTCAAAACAGTACTGGCCAGTGGTGGTCAGTGCATAAGCCTCAAGTTGTGAGAAAACCCCTAATTCATGGCTTTCCATGGCTGTAGCTCTCCCTTCCCTGTATCCCTCCTGTTCTGCCTACAGTTTTGTGGCAGAATGGAAACCCGGGATTAATTCTGCACTGCCATCTCATGGCATAATAAAGGCAGAGCCATGGAAATTGGTTTCTTTCTACATCTGAGAGGAGGGAAGAAGAAAAATGTGGCTTTCTTGAACAGTTATACTGTCCTTGCTCTGCCACCAATCCCCACAACAGTTAGCCTGACCATGCTGCCTTTAACAAGGGAGTATTCCTTTGAGAAATAGCTCCCTTAATTGAAACTCCTAAGTGGGTTTTGAGCATGCTCTGTAGTTACAGAACGTTATGTGATGCGGGTGCAATGAAAGTGCACTTCTTTTACAGCTGTGGAGAAGGAGGCCTCTCTCCGTTTTGTTCTCTGTCTTTTAAAGCGCCTCATCTTTACAGAGCCCGAGGAGAGAATCCATCAGCCAGGTTTTACCTGCAGTGGAAGAGCCAGAAGCTTAACTCCTTGCTCTTGCCTAAATGAGTTCATGACAAACAGAAGTGTGTTTATGCTCTGGAGACTAACGTTTTAGAGCAGCTTATTTTCCAAGACCCTGTGAGAAAATCCGAGCCGTGTTCCAGGAGTCATCTTTTTTCCCCCTGCCATCTCCCACCAATTCAGAAGGTCAAAGGTTTGCTTTTAGAGGCAGGGGCATACAAAAATCCCATCTTTCTCTACAACTGCCTTGTTCTCCCTCTGGCCAGAAACTGCTGATTTTTGACAGTTGAGGTAACAGGCTGGTATGTGAGCAGGAGTGGCTCTTCCTTTCGGGGACCTTGATTTACCCCCTCGCACCCAAGAAGTGCATTCTGCATACAGTCACCCCAGCAGCAAACTCTTGCTGCAAGCATGCCATGAAGCCGTGCCCCACGTTTTAAAAACAACAGGAACTGCTGGCAGGCTTTCTCCCCCGATGATCCTGGCAGGGAAAGCAGCTAGGGGTAGAAGCAGTAATGCATATGGAGCAAGAATAGTAGCTCCAGATTTCCCCACAGAAAGAAGGTTTCACATCCAAACCTGAGGAGATCTCTACTGTGGGTATTACTGTTCAACCACCCATCTATGACTTCTGTTGCACCTGACCTTTCCTTCACATCTCGGAGATGAACAGCAGCATCAGCCAGAATCTCTTCTGGCCAGCCTGCAGCTGGGCAGTCTGTCCAAACAGTTTTCCTCCATGAAAACCCTCCTCTTCAGCTGCCTTCCATAGGAAGGGACAGGGAACATGAGGAGGCAGCAGGGCTATCCTTTCAGCCCACGCAGCTGAGAGAGGAGCCTCTCTGGATGTAGTCTGTCTCTTGGGTTTAATCTGTGAGGAGTCTCCCCCTTGGAGCAATGCACATCTCAGATGGTACGTGAGGAGATGGGGCCAGTCCACCTTGAGACTCTGCTCTATCCTTTCTCCTTCAGCATCCCTGCTCA